TTTTTACGCTTTTCATTTTTTTTACCCGATATTAAAAAGTGCCATTTTTTGGGACATTTTTTACTACTTTTCTATTCGGCTGAATAATATTTAAACTATCGAAAAGTGAAACAGCCTGCCATACGTGCGAGCGTTATCAAATTTTTTTTTAATCAGACCACGGCACGTTAAAACAAAAAATGAAATGGAGAAATGTATCTATGTTAGAAATGCAAAAGCATTAAGCGGAAACGAGATTTTTTTCCATTGCTGTCAATTTTTCTCTTACATCTTCATGAGAGTCCGTATCGTAACAAGTGAGGTTGCGCATTTCCACCAGCTATGGATCACTACACATATTTTATTTCGCGTGTGGTTTGTTTAGAACTGCATTATTTTTTTACTTCGCCCTCCTATGCGAGCCAAGCAACACCGGGTCAAAAAAAATTAAACAAAAAAGAAATGAAGAAAAAAAAGTTTTCCTCTCTAGACGTGAACGCGGCACCTTACGATTACGAAGCTGAATCGTTGTCAACGCGCCCAATGCATGTTCTTCATACATGATGATCCATAGCTGGTGGAAATGCGCGGCCTCACTTGTTGCGATACGGACTCTCATGAAGATGTAAGAGAAAAATTGACAGCAGTTGAAAAAAATCTCGTTTCCGCTTAACGCTTTTGCATTTCTAACATAGATACATTTCTCCATTTCATTTTTTGTTTTAACGTGCCGTGGTTTGATTAAAAAAAAATTTGATAACGCTCGCACGTATGGCAGGCTGTTTCACTTTTCGATAGTTTCAATATTATTCAGACAAATAGAAAAGTAGTAAAAAATGTCCCAAAAAATGGCACTTTTTAATATCGGGTAAAAAAAATGAAAAGCGTAAAAACCCATACACTTATTTTATACATATGTATGGTGAGATGAGACAAATAGTATATCTGCTTAGAAATTTTTAGTTTTATACGTTTTTGAGTAGCCTGATTCAATTTAGTCAATTTTTTTATTCATGCCTACGGAAAGATAATTTTATTTTTAATATTTCGAACTATCAGTATGTTCTACCTCGACATAATTGTCCGATAATTCGATGTATTAAAAATGTTATCTTTCCGTAGCCATGAATGATAAAAATTAAATGACAAAAAATCCCTAACCAGATACAATATTTGTTTCATTTCACCATAGAAAATAATTGGTTCTTTTTTATATGCTCATCATTTTATGCCCGAGATTTATAATTGCAATTTTGTTTTTGGAATTTTTTCGTAATGCCTCCTTTATCCGTCTGAATATTATTTATGCTATTAAAAAAGGAAACAGCATAACATAGGTGTTTGTCACAGGTAGGCTCTCGGGAAGAAGAAACGTTCGCTGATTCATGTACCAATTTATTGGATGTATACGATGTAATATAATACAATATTTGTAGATTAATATAATCATATATTTAATGAATCTTAAGTTAACTAAGTGAACCAATAAGCATAGCTGATAATTAAGAAAAAAAATAAAAGGCTTGAGAGACGTGAGTTTCGAACTCGAGACTCTCGGACGTTAATCCAGCACTAAGCACATGTGCTATCCAGTCATTGTGGTATATTGTTTAGCAAACTTATATTTCTGGAGTTACCCACGTTCGAGAGTTTATTTTTAAGTTTTATTTGCTTACTCTATTATTTCCAGAGCTTCATATGGATATTAAGGGTATTGACTACCTTATTACTACGGTTTATGTAATTTCCTGTAAAAAAAAAGGGGATACAAGTCTCGCAATTTGAGTGTTCACCCGGTTTAAAATCGTGGATCTCGAGGAACATACGAATTCATTCGACCAATCAAAAACGTGGAACTAGTTCGAGAGTCTCGTTCAGGTGGCGCGTCGACGCGCCAAAACACAGCTCCAGATTATCACGCGTAGTATTACTATATATACACGACCAATCAAAAACGTGGAACTGCTTTCGAGGGCCCTCCGCTAAGGTGGCGCGCCGAAACCAGAGAAAAATGGCGATCACCAAAATTAGGCTCATTGGCAATCTCCCTACTCATCTCTGCTACATGCGTGTAATATACAACGAGGCTATACCACAGGCTATACACATTTCGTCTGATGCCGAATTCAAAATTTATTTCAAACATGAACTATGACGTGAAGTAG